AAAACCCTATTTATTGGGGACCCGCAGGTGGCATGGTGGTTAAGGTGCTGGACACTGCCACATGGCTGATCACGGTTCCAGTCCTGGACCTGGTGGCTTGCTTTCTCACTCTCTCTCTGGTCAAATTAAATGAATGAATAAATAAAATTAAATAAAATAATTATTTTTTAAAATAACTATTTAATTTTTTATTATCATTATTATTCTTTAATTTGATCAGAAAGATAGAGACACAGAGAGAGAAGAAAAGTGAGAAAAAAAGCCACCAGGTCCTGCATTCAAACTGTGGCCATGTGGAAATCCAGTACCTTAACTATCACACTACCTGCTGGCCCTTGTATTTTTTAAGAATTATTTTATTTAAATTTATTTATTTATATTTAATCAGAGAGAGACAGAGTGAAAGAAAGAGAAAAAAAAAAGTGAGAAAGCAGGCCACCAGGTTCAGGACTTGAACCGTGGTCAGCCATGGGGGAGTCCAGCATCCTTAACCATCACACCACCTCCTGGCCCTCCCTTGTTTTGTTTTCAAACAGTGTAGTTGATCCTTAGTATCAGCTCTCCCCCCACAATTTTTCAGGAAAATAAAAGGAAAACAAAATTACATTCAGCATTCAGTAGATTACTTCCTCCTTGATATCTCACTTTAAGCTTGGAAGAATGAATGCAAATAGCACAATTAAGGGTGGACCATATCAATTAAATATGGAAAAACTGGAAGGAAGATGAAGTCAAATGAACACAAGACACCAATTTGGATTTTTTTTTTTAAATTCCTTATGGCGAGTTAGATTTTTCTCTAAAGTTAAACAGTTACTTGAGTTTGAGATGTAAAATCTATTTCAAAACATCAATTTCTAAAACAATAAAGAAAATATCCATTCCACATGTTAATGAAAATCAGTTGCTCTTGGGTTTGAGTGATGATGTACTTATCTAATTGCTTAGCCTCTAACTTAATTCCACTGAGAAAAGAACTTGCTTACATGAACATTCAAATGTTTGAATTCTGTGACTTCAGGAATCACTGACACTACTCAGAAATCTACAGATGAGTATACCCACACTAGTTTCAATGCAAATCAATATGAAGTTAAATATAAATAATTAAGAAGCTCAAGTCCTAAATTTTGTGACTTCAGTTTCATAAAAATATCACTAGAAAGCAGCACTCCTGTTATCTTACACAGACTGACATCTCTCCAGGTCTGCATTTTGCTTCAGAAAACATCTTTTCTACATTTTTCAACTGCTATCAAATTTTGTTTCTAAACTTTCAGCTTAAAAAACAACAGGTTTCACTTCAATTCAAAAGCCCTTCTGTTTTGAAAATTTCAAAACCGGGCCTATTCCTAATTCTCTCTTTCCATACATAGCTCTTTGAAGATCACAAATTATAAAGATACTGACATTCTTTGAAGCATTACATTTAAAGCTCTTTGCTTTGTTTTTGGATCTTAACATAGCATGATGATGGTTTTCAGGAAATAAAACCACTTCCATATTTTTAATCAATTTTTGTTGTTGTTGTTGCTATAGGGCATGTGCACTAAACAGAGAGACAAGAGAGGAAAAAGTGAGAAAGCACTCCCATGCCAGGGGATGGTCATACCACAATTCCTTCTCCTCCATTCTCTTCTCAGGATATTAGGCACACACAAATGCACATGGTATTTTTTTTTTATTGTTTTTAGGTTTTTGCCATAGGGCGCATGTGCTTGTCAGAAAAAGACAGAGAGAGGAACAAGAAATCAGTCATCAGGAGGAATGGCCATGCTGCAATCCCTTCTCCTCGGGATTTTGGGCATACATGCACATGCACCCAGCATGATTTTCAAGCCTAAGGTCCGGGAATGGAACCATGTTCCAACCCTGTGGGAATCCAGTGCCTTAACCACCATGCCATCTTCTTCCCTACTCTTCATTTTTCATGCTGGCTGGGTCTGGATAGTTGGCCAAGTGGGATCCAGCCACCTTAGCCACCGTGCCACAGGCTGGTCCTAATAGAGATTTTAAGTTGAAATAATATTTTTTTCTTAAAGAATTATGTTTATTTAACTTTATTATTATTTTCCTGTTTGATCAGAGAGAGAGGGGAGGGAGTGGGAAAGCAAGCTACCAGGTCCAGGATTTGAACCATGGTTAGCCATGTGGGAGTCCAGCACTTCCAACCACCATGCCACCTGCTGGCCCCAGAAATATTTTATAAATAAACTCAAGAGTTAAAAATAAGCTCTTACAATATCATCATACTTTAAGTCACAGTTTAAAGTTATCTACTCCAAAAATTCTTGTTTCCTAAACCCAGAAAATTCTCTCTTGCTCCCAAGGGCTTTGCTCTTTTTGATACCTTATGTCATTCTTAGAGTTTTTGAGAATGTTCCTTCTCTTTGGTTGGCAAATTTCTTCCTAAAGGGTGGGACAGTATTTTTAATTACGTCTACTCACCTTATCTGCCTTTTGACTAACATAGGAAATATTCAACAAAATATTTGTTGAATTATTCTAGCCACTTAACGTTCCCTTTCTATCTCCCACAGTTAATCTCTTGACACTTGGTGAAGATAATCTTGCCGCTCACTGTTATTTTCCTTACCACATCAAGGACACCTGTTCATTGAAATTAAAGGAATTGTGCGTGTCTGACAGGGTATCATCGCCTTATGACTAATCCCACTTGGTTTAGGTTGACAAATAAATCAACACCTGAATTGACTGCTCTACATAGAGCTAGCTCCTCAGAACTCTCAGTTATCAAGTTCAGAGAATCATCTCCCTAAAGCAGGCCAGAATTTCCCCTTCCCTCTTTTCTTAAACTTCTCATTAGTGATGCTCCCACGCTCTCACTCCCACCTAGGGGAACACAAGCTGCCAAATAACTTGCTGCGTACCTAGTGGCGACCGAGACACATCCAGTTTTGCTAGCGCTCTAGGTCACGGCCCCACGTTAAGCCTACCAAGATTACTCCTTCAAGGCAGGATCCCGGCCCCGAGGCATTTCTACCCTGTCAGCCGGGCCTCAGCCTCGCCGCTCCCCGCACCGCTCCTTTTCCCTTCGGTCCGGTGATGTTCCCGACATTTGGGTTACTTCAAGGACTCGGAGCGGGTGAGGACACGCCGTGGGCAAAGACAAGGAGGACTGGGGCGAGCGCTGCTGGTTCTGCCTCCCGCCGGTAGGGAAGCGCACCGGGCCCGGTACAGAGGGGCCCACCAGGCGTGAACCGGGGGTGACGCCCGGCCTCAAACCCCTCCTCCGGCTCGCTGAGGGAGCTCAGAGGGTCCGGGAGCGCAGACTCTCCGCCCGGGGCCAGTCAGGGCCCCAAACACCGGCCAGAAGACCTCCCTCAACGGAGCTCTCCGAGGTGCCGGCGAGGTAACCGCTACGACGGAGAGAAAGGAGGCGCTCCAAGGGCCCTGGTCGGTTAGGAGGAGCGAGGAAGGCCTGCCCGGCTCCACCGGCCCCTCACCTTCATGGCCGCGACCGCCTCAGCTCGGTCGGCTCTGCCGGGGAACTCAGCACCATAGCAGCTCCTCACACAGCCGACATCCCTCCTTCTGGGCGGCGGTTACGGCGCCGCTCCAGGCGACAGAGCGTCTGGACGTAAGGGGCGTGGTCACGCCCGACGCGCGCTCAGGGATGTGCACCGAGCGGCGGCAAAGCCGACCAATCCGGAGCCGATACT